CAGATAAACATTTAATGACATCATATAACTCGGATTATACAAGAGGGCTTCAAGAAGTTTATGGAAAAATTCCACCATCTTTCAGTTCCATTTTTCCACCAACTTTCTCAAGTCCTCTCATATATAAATGTACAGATATTAAAAGCTCTCCTCCAACACCATAACTCAAATACATCAATTTTTCTACAGTCTTCTTACAGGAGGAGGCTACTGAAAGTGCCATGGACTGCCAAAAGAATAAACCAATATGTGATGGAGGAAGTGCAGCAAGAATGCTCCTTAGAAGCCAGGATGGCCAGACTTTGTCTCTCATACTTCAGACACATTATCAGGAGCAACCAGTCCCTGCAGAAGGATATGATGCATGTCAGTTATGATGTTGGAGAAGAATATTAAAGGTACCATGGACTGCCAGAAAAAAAAAACAGTCTATGGTGGAAGAAGTACAACCAGAATGTTCCTTAAAAGCCAAGATGGTCAGACTTCATTTCTCTTTACTTTGGACATGTTATAAGAAGTGAGCAGTCTCTGGAGAAGGATATCCTGCTTGGTAAAGTGGAGGGTCAGTGAAAAAGAGGGAGACCCCCAAAGAGGTGGAGTGGCACAGTGGCAGCAGCAGTGGGCTCAAGTGTATTGAAAGGATGGTCCAGGACTGGTGGGTGTTCGCTCTGCTGCACAGAGTCACTATGAATCGGAACTGACATGATGGCACCTAACAACAACAACAACAACAACAACATAGAAGGAGCGGCACCTCAGAAGAACTCATGCGAGATCTGCTTGGCTTCTGTGGATTATCTGACTGGAGAACAATTATTGAGCAATGCTTTACAAGGGATCCCTTCAGACACAGGCATACTTAAGACTCTAAATCAGTGGAACATGAAAGCCCCAGAAAAATCCATCAAGGTGAGTGCTCTTGAAGAGAACATTGGCCTCTTAACTCTTAGGAAGGAGTAGCTGGCACATTGGGCGGAGCCTCTTCTCCAACAGCAGATACTTTGCTTAAGGTAGGCCTTTTGTATATGAGATTTTCTCAATGAAAGTGCAAAATAAGCTCATCTTTAGGGAGACCAGTCAGGTTTCCAGCCCACACCCCTGGGCGTTCATAAGCTGCCCTGAGGAAACAATAAAAGGTACAGGGGCACACCTATGTCTGGTGAATGAGATACATACCGAGGACCCAAAGAGAGGCAGAATTAGGGAAAACAGAATAACAGCTACAGGATTCAGACTCTGCAGGCCCATCAAGGCATCAGACTTTAGGAAATCGAGCCAAGAGCCCATTGTTAGTGAAGGGTGATGACATTCAGGTGCTCCCTTTAGACTAAAACATTGTTCTTAAATTCTGACAAGTCTGATCTGACTCACAGCAACCCTGGAGAGGGTTTCCAAGGAGCAGCTGGTGGCTTTGAACCTTGCTTTATCCCACAGTGCCACACTAGGACTCCCATTAGACTAAAAAGCACTTTGGGATAAATGAAGGAACCTCTAGAAAGTGATGGTGGTTGGAATTTTTTAAGCTTGTAATTTGGGAATTGAAGGGCCTCAGAGGCTAATTCCAAATATCAAGCAATCCTTTTCACACACTGAGATGCGCACACATACACATGTGACTGAACGAAGGGGCAAGGGTCACTGAACTCAAACTCAAAGACGAAATTATGATAATCCTGCTTTTCAAATTTGTTGTTGTTGTTGTTAAGTGCTGTCGAGTTGGTTCCGACCCATAGTGACCTTGTACAGGGTTTCCAAGACTGTAAATCTTTATGGGAGCAGAATGCCTCATCTTTCTCCCGTGGAGCAGCTGGTAGTTTCGAACTGCTGGACTTAAGGTTCACAGCCCGATTTGTAACCACTATGCTACCAGAGCTCCTTTTCAAATAGGCCTGGAATTCTGTCTACATGCTTTCAATGGATCTTATTCATAAAATACAGAGCAGTCAGGAAAGAATTCCAAAAAGTATTGCTACTCATTACTAAAATGTCTATCAGATTCCCTGGGAATTTATATATTTGGTTCATTATTTTAGGTGTGCTGCATCAGTTTGGCTTTAAGATAGTCTAATGTGGTTACGAATTGGCCTGTGAACCGCAAGGTTGGCAGTTTGAAACTACCAGCTGTTCCGCAGGAGAAAGATGAGGCTTTCTGCTCCCGTAAAGATTTACAGCTTCGGAAACCCTGTACAGGGTCTCTATGAGTTAGAACCAACTCCACAGTACTTAACAACAACAACAATGTAAAACACAGAAAATCTGTCAGCTCTATCTACCTGTCAGTAGGAGCTGTCCAAGAAATCATGCATTAAAGAGTGCTCACATGGATGAGGGGGCTTCAAAAAGATCATGGGAAAATTCCATGATGTTTTCATTTCGTGTTTCCCTTTTGTATTGAACCCTTACCATGTCCTGTTCTTTATAAGAGCTTTTATACAGATAATTTAATTCTCAAAACATTACCGTCTCCATCCTACCCCTGATGGAAGTGGGCAACAGAAGAGATTATTAGCTGACAGTTTAATTGTGTTAGTTATGCACCAGCACTGTTTTAGGGACTCAGCCATGGTATTTTCAACTGCCTCACAAGCATGTGAAAGTTGGCCCACGAATAAAGAAGACTGTAGAAGAATTGATGCAGCTGAGTTATGTGTTGGAGAAGAATATCAGAAGCACCATGGACTGCTGTAAGAACAAACAAATCTGTGTTGCAAGAAGTACAGCCAGATAGATGAACAACTGGTACTACTGCCCTGGGATAACCTTTAAATTTCAAACCAAATGAAAATGGAGAAGTCCCTAAATCATCTTAAATCTGAACAATACTTGCATTAACTAATTTGCCTTGGACATTATGATCTTTTAAAAAAACCTATGTGGGATCAAATGGACCATAACAACTCAAAAGATTAGATAGGAACCTTACAGGGCAGTGAGTTTATGTTAATGAGGAAGGAACAACTCAGAAAAGGAAGACGAGAATGATTGCCAAACTCAAAAAATATAATCATTGTCCCTAATTGTACATGTCAAATTGGTGTATGTTCTGCTGTGTACATTCTCAACAACAACATAAATAAACTTTATGGGGAAAATGTAAAAAAAAAAAAAAAAAAGAAGAAGTACAGCCAGAACACTCCTTAGAAAGCAGGATGGTAAGAGTTCCTTTCCCATACTTCACACATGTTATCGGGAGGGTCCATTCCTTGGAGAAGGGTCCACACAAAAAAGGAAACCCCCTGAACGAGATGGACTGACACAGTCACAACAGCAGTGGGTTCAAACACAACAACATTTGTGAGGATGGGGCAAGATGGGGCAGTGTTTCGTTCTTTCGTGCAGAGGGTCTCTAGGAGTTGGAACTGACTCGACAGTACCTAAGAACAACATGTTTTGCTTTACTTATTCCTTACAACTCTAGGAAGAACTGTTATAATTGCCACTTGGATAAAACAACGAAGGCACAGAGAGGGTGAATGACTTTCATTTAGACTTACAGCATGTAAGTCTCTATACTATGGACTCTTTGAACCTCACTGGCCCCAGATGATTTCCCCCAGGGTGAGTAAGGGAACGAACATCAGCACAGCTAAGCCTCTGCTACTGTGATCATCTCACTAAAGCACAGACTATCTAAACACCTGCAGTTCCGTTAGCATGCCTTACTCTCTCTTGCCTTCAGGTCATCACACATGCTGGTGCATTTACCTAGAACATTCTCCCCACACCTCTGTTCACAACTGTCACCTGCCCTTCAGTTGCTAGCTTAAACGTCACTTTTTCCAGGAGATCTACTCCCGTCTGTCTGGGTTCGATGTCCTTTACCCTATGCTCCCACAGCACAGCAGGCCCACCATCCTCTATTAAGGGGGCCGTATGGCGCTGGGGGTTCATGCGCCAGACTGCAAAGCCATTTGAATTGCCAGGTCGGTGGTTCAAGCTCACCAGCTACTCCTTGGAAACACTGTACAGGGTTGCTATGGGTTGGAACCGACTCGACAGCACTCAGCAAGAACAAATCCCCTATTAATCTGTAAGCATCTTGAGAGAGGACACTGTCTTTTGTTCCCCACACACAGTGCCTGCCTGGTATCTAGTAGGTACTCAAGAAGTAAGTCTAGCATTATTTTCACATCTACTCACCAACAAAGTACTTACGATTTTCTGTATACACCTGGCAATTTTCCTTTTCTTAGCGCCACTGATTTTTCTCCTCGGGTTTATTTGGTTTACTTCTAGTCTATCTTTGTGTATTTTTGATCCTGACACATTAGTTAAAGTGAAAGCTAAAATGATCATTTTCACCATACTGTTCCTTCAAAGCTAAATCACTCATAAGGTAGTCCCTAACTTCCTGAAACAACTTTTCTATTTAAACTACTTTAAGTCCTTCATTATGCAGCATTAGTTACTTTACCTATGTGCTTTCTTTCTTCTACTAGTTAAGTCCATTGGGAGCAGGAACTGTACTTAGAACATCATTGAATTATATCTGTAACAACTAATGTTATATGTCTAGCATGGGAGCACAGTTAATAAATGTTGTAATAAATGGCACTATTACACATCAATAATACAACTTACTTGAGTTTGCTTTTTAAAGGTGTGGCAATGTACAGATCCTTTTAAGGCTCTCTTTTAGGGAATCAATATGGCTGGCTAAGCAAGGTGAAAAAAGAACAGAGATGTTGAAAGACAAAACAACAACAAAGGAGGAAGTTATGATGTCGAGTGACGCATGCATTATATTGCAGGTATCAACAGGAGGCATTTTTAAGAGGACTCTCTTAGCAAGTCAAAGCCGGGTCCTTTATTCTCTAATGTGAAGTTTAGCAAACATGCCCTAAGCTGAACACCACTGGGGCGTCATGACAGACGTCAAAGACTGGAAGTCATGATTCCAACTAAGTATCAGACATTTGTATTTCATGTCTCAAAACATGCATCACATGCCTGGTGAAGTGAAATCACTGTATGTTTGCTGGAAGAGGCAGGCCAGCCACTTGGGTCTCTCCTTCACTGTTTCCTGATAGGATGCAGTTCATTGTGTTTAATAAATGAGTGCCTTGGAAAACTCAGTTTGAATCACCTCTAATGAGTATGGCTACTTGGCAGCTAAGCTTGCTTCTGAACTTAGTTATGATGATTTCTCATCCAATTCTGATGTTTATTATCACTGGATTAACTGCCAATCTGAATGCAAAGTGCTTGAGGAAAAAGCACTTAAAAACGATTGCACGATCTCTCCTAACCCATATGTATGATGTGAGTTCTAGACATTTCTTGCCTCCTAAACTTTTGAGGCCAAGCTGGCTAAATTTCGTCTCTCATACTTTGGACATATTATCTGGAGGGAACAGTCGCTGGAAAAGGATATCATGCTTGGTATGATGGAGGGTCAGAAAAAAGAGGAAGACCCCCAATGAGATGGATTGGCCAGGTGGCTGCATTGATGGCGTCAAGTGTGGCAGCGGTAGTGAGGTTGACCCAGGATCGGACATTGTTTCATTCTGCTGTGCATGGGGTCGCTATGAGTCGCTTCTGACTCGATGGCACCTGACAACAACAACTACAACAAACTTTTGTACTTGTACCTCCTTTTTTCTCACTAATTAATTATTTCAATTAAGCCATGGCAGTTTTCTCACATTATCAGTGTTCCTCTCCTCCAATAGCTATACTTTGCCAGACCTAGTTCTATAATTAAGTATCTTGCAACAATATTAGTTTTCAGGGATGGTTCAAAGTTCTCCTCAAATTTACCTCCTATAGTGCCCCCTATTCGGAAGTGATGATCTTCTTTCTAGTCTCATTTTTAGCCATCTATTGTCCTGGTGTGGCACTGTGGGCTAATGCACTGGACTGCAAAGTCAGTTTGAACCGTAAGGTTGGCAGTTCAAACTCACCAGCGGCTCCTTGGAAACCCTATACACAGTCACCCTATGGGTTGGAATTGACTCAATAGCACTTAACAACAGTAACTGTCCTGCTATAGTGCTGTAGGAGACATACTGGGCTGGGTAGCACAAGGTGGGAAGTTCAAACTCACCAGCTGCTCCTCAGAAACCCTACACAGTCACTATGAGCTGGAGCCGACTTGACAGCACTAAGCAGCGACTGTCCTGTCACCCTTGTGAGGTTCCGTCATGGAAACACTGGTTGGAGAAACACCAGCATGGTATCAAAAGTGAACTAAGCTAAACACTTTTTAAGCCATCTTAGTCTGTGTCTTCCTAGTATCATCCTATTTTCCCTTCCAGGGGCATCCAAGAATCATTTATTTCTTTACAGTTTGTTTCATAAATAGCTCCATTCATTAGATAGTTACTAAAGACTTTATCAATGCTAGCATTCCATTTTATTCACATTTTCACTCCTCCATCAAGGGTAAATTAAATCAAGGAACCCTGGGGGTGCTGTAGGATAAGCACTGGACTGCTAACCATAAGTTGGCAGTTCAAACCCACCAGCTACACCACAGGAGAAAGAAGAGACTTCCTGTTCCCATAAAGATTTACAGCTTTAGAAACCCTATGGAGGGTCGCTGTGAGTCAGACTCGACTTGATGGCAGGGGTGGGGGTTTAAGGCCAAGTCAGAGCTAAAAATTCTGCTCACAGATCAGAGACACAGAAAAGTATAGACTATTACATTTGTACATGGGAAAATACAGAAAAAAGACTCTCCTGTCTGATAGTTCCTTCAGTTGACAGGTATTAAGTGAAGGAACACACAGCCTTTGTAAAGAAAAATTAGATCCTATTGAAGACTCTCAATGACTACACTATCATTTCCTACAGAACTGATATTTCTCTGGATCCTGCTGTTCACAAATATGAAACACAGAGAAGTTGCCCAAGAGTCTTGTCTGGGAGCAGGCAACTGGGCCCAGGAAGGTCAATTCGTTGCTAGTAATTGCAGTTGAACATGGTAGAGATAGAAAAAGCCTAGAAGTAGCTTGTACATTTTTTTGTTGTTGATTTTAGATCCAATGTTTCATCCAAGAGAGATTTTGTATTTTCAAGGCAATATAAAAATGCCTAAGGAATATATGCTTCTTCTTCATATCACAGATATGGGAAAAATTCATCTTAATGGGAAAAATTTATTTCAGAAAACTACTTGGCATCATATAAAACACATATGAGGGGGGAAAAAAACAACCCACCCCAAACCATCATAGTGGTACAGCCAGTCCCCCTGATGACTCATTCTCAATATGGTCGTGTACATCACTGCCCATTTCTAGGAGGCCAACAATGAACAGTCACAGGCCTGACAGCCATGGGCACCAGAGTTGGCTTTGCTTTCAGCCTTTTGGCATTCCAGGTATACGACGTCTGTTCATCCTTGCCAATACATTTTCTCATGTGAGGCTTATTCATGGTCTCTTTTGAAAAAGTATGCAAGTAGCAGTCATATTACTGTTGAATTTTGACAAATTCTTGACAAGCATCAGTCATGTGAAATCCCAGAAACTACCTGGAACATGACAGTAAACCTCTGAAGTATCTCACATATGGATTAATTCAACCCGCGTTCACTGACTGGTGCCAGGTGGGCCCTAGCTGCTGGGGAGGCCAAGTCAAAGAAGCCAAGTGGGTGCAGGCTGAGCCCTCCTGTCTGCAGGGCCAATCAGAGCTTAGAAAGGCCTCTCAGACTTGAGCCTCATTCTGCTTTGGGGCTGCAAGGCAGGGAGCACTGCTTCTGTATCCATCAGAGGAAACTGCAATCCACACAAGATAACTGCTTTGCTGAAGGTCACACTGCTATCAACTTTTCAGGTGTGTCTTAAACCTAGATCTGGCTCCGAATTAGCCCACCAGATAACTCATTCTGAAGAAGACAGAGTCCCAGATGCATGTAAATACAAAAGAAAGTACTGTAGGAGTCACAGGCTCAGTGGTTCTAGAACATTTCCCAATGAGCAGAAGGAAATAAAGGTGTTATTTTTCACAACTAAATTTTACATAAGCTGGCAGTTTGGGGATTCCTGTAGAACTACTACATCCTATGAACATGCTTGGCTGCTAACCAGAAGGTTAGCAGGTTGAGGCCACCCAGAGGCACCTCAGAAGGAAGAGCTGGAGTTCTACGTCTGAAAAATCAGCCGCTGAAAAGTGTCCCTCTGACATTGATGGAGTCACCTTGAGCCAGAGCAGACTTCAAAGAAACTGGTTTGGAGTTTGGGTAAGACTTCTGAACAAGTTTAAAATACTGGCAACACTTGGCTCTTTGAATTGAGCTGGAAACATGCATGGGAAAAATGCATGTCTATGAGGGTGAGCCAAAACTTACCCAGACTTTGAGTGGAGAATGAATTCCAATCACCTTTTAAAGACAAGTACTTCATTTTCAACATAATCACCCTGCTTTTCAATACACTTTGTCTATCTGTCAACAAACAAGCATTCTCTTATTTAAAAATGTTTTAGGCTACGCTGCAAGCCAAATACACTGCTGTCTTCACTTCTTCATCAGAGGGGAATCTTCATCCTCAAAGGGTTGCTTTCATGGACCAAACAGGTAACAGTCTGATGAAGCAAGATCAAGACTACAGGGAGGCTGCTTTAATACCTCAAAACTAAGTTTTCACAGAGTGTCAACAGTATGGACAGAGGTATGTGGATGTGCATTGTCATGCAAGATCACAAGGCCCTTGGACAGCAGTCCTCTGCATTCATCTGAAGTTTAGGCTTCAGCTCTTCAGTGAGCATCTCACTGTAATGAGTGAGCACTGTGGATTGTTGAACCTTTATCTTGAAAGTGTTCCAATACTGGCCCTTGAGAATCTCAGAAAACTGTACAGCATCAATTTTCTAGCTGATGATTTACTTTTGAACTTCTTCTTGGTTAATGATAGAGGAGATTTCCATTCTCTGCTGTTTACTCTCAGGCTCACAGTCATGAATGCTAGTCTAGTAATGATCTTTTTTTAAAGAAACTTTCACCTTCCTTCACGCATTGGTCCAAATTTTGTTTGTAGAGGTCCTAACTATGCCCTTCCATGAGTTGTTCCAGTACCAATCTCACACAACCTTTTCAAAAGCCAAGTCTGTCAGCGATTATTTCATAGGCAGAGCCACAGCTGATCTGCAAATGATTTGCCTCATCTATTTGACAGAATCATTTCATGTGCATGTTCAATGTTGTCATCAGCTGTGGACGTGCGTCTTAGTATAATTGGAGTGCAGACAATTTTTGACTCACCCTTCTGGACATGACCCTTCACTATGAGTGTGTGTCTTCCCATAGGAAAGGATGACCAGAATGTGGTATTATTGCAGGACACCAATGCCATATGGACTCCTCGTATGGTGCTGCAGGATAAGTACTGGACTGGGAACTGCAAGGTTGGTGGCTCAACCCACCAGATGCTCCTTAGAAATTCTGTATTGGGTTGCTATGAGTCACTTAACAACAACAACCATGCCATACACCCTAGGAGCTGTTGGAGAACCAGAGTTTGCTGAGACTGGATTACAAATTGGGCCAGGAACAAACATTTGCATCTTTTGCCTCACAGAACAATGCTCCAATGACAAAAATGAGACAGTAATTAGACGATGTGGGTTTCTCCTTAACCTGACCCGCCATCTCCCCAAACAGCACAATTACCCTGCTAATGAGATTAAATTTGGTTTAACTGGAGGATTAATCCACAGCAGAATCCCTGCTGGCTGCAGTTCCCACCGGGTCCATCGTTCTGTGAATGCACCCATCTAATACTCATTTACTTTAATGAAAGTCAGACATAAGAATTGGGCTGGTACAGTCTCGAGAAACACAAGGGCTTTTGTTTATATTGAAAAAGAGTCTCATTTGGTTGATCTGAATCTTCCTAATACCCAGTGAAATAGTTATTAATAAGCATCAGCACAGCAAGCCAGAAAGTCATATTTGCATTCATTTAAGCCATAAATAATTGAAGGTAGATTTCATTCCTTAAGTCATGGTTTCAGGAAAAACCCGCAATAGTGTGTTGAATGAAAAGAGACCATTAGCAAGACAAAGTGTATTGAAAGTTGAGGGCGGCAGATGTTCTGTCCACACTTGCAGGACATGGCTCATTCCCAATAACATATCACTGACTCTCCTGTTATAGTCATCTCAGCAGAGAGGAGAGAATGAAACTGTCTGGTTTTTTGGTTCTCTTCTTCCTGCAGGGCAGGTCTACAAGGTCCATGCCAGTCCTATTCCTTAGACTGGAAGAAAACTTAGTAATGCACATATTTGGGCATCCATTTAGTCACTCACTGACAAAGCATCTGCTGTAAGGCACCTCTAAATGCTAAGAATGAGAAATGGACAAAACATAGAAATTATTCTTCACAAGCTCAGGAAAAAGTCACACATTATGAAATAACATTAAATGCCAAAACCAGCAATGAGAGAGACAGAACACGAGGAGAGGAAGGGGAAACAGATACACAAAGAAAGAAATGAACATAATAGAAAACATCAGAACATAGTAAAGGTAAGTACTATTCTGTGGAATCAAAACTCATAGCGTTGGCTCTGGGTCATGGGTGACCTCATGTGTCGCAGAATGAAAGACCGCTGGTCCTGTGCCCTTACAATGATGGTTGCTATGTTTGAGGGACTATGTTACATAAATTCATTAGGAAGTGGTCGGGGCCATAGAGGTGTTTCCCCGCCTTACGTATAATCCTTAACTTTCTTTCTCCTCGAATTTGTGCCATTCATACTTTTGTGTTTGCGTTTATTTTTATCACAACCTTTACCTCCTTGGCGGTATGTTCTTTGCAATCCGGGTGTCTGTCTGATTGACTATGGCGTCCCCTCAGTACCTACCTAGCACGGTGTAGGGGCAGATGCAAGAGCCAACCTTCTGTATAATGAATCCTTTCTGAGAAGGAGCATGATATGAACCAGCTAACTTAGGGCCGTGCTGAGGTGAGTAAACTTGAAGAAATTGTATGAGGGGGCCGTAAAAAGTTCATGGAAAAATGGAATGAAAAGATGATGAAATTTTCCCACAAACTTTTTGAAGCCCCGTGGAATATTTCTTTTCTGTGGGCTTGTGTTTATGACCACTGCATGCTTGTAGCTCGCCTACCTACTACAGCTGGAACAAACTGCATTTGTGCAAGCTCCAATTCATTCATCTGAGTCTCTACTTTCAGAAGTATTCAGAAATTACAAACAATATTGCTGTTACGAGAAACCATGCCTCTTATTAGTTGGGTATGCAGCAGTGTAGAAGGAGGGGAATTGGTTTATTGATTATTCATAAAGAGAAAATGCAACATATTCAATGAGAAACAGACCATAAACAAGGGGATCGCCAGTGAGTAATGCCTAGCTCATAAGGATCTCTGGTAGCATAGTAGTTACGAGTTGGGCTGCTAACCTCAAGGTCAGCAGTTCGAAACTACCAGCCTTTCCATGGAGAAAGATGAGGCTTTCTGCTCCCATAAAGATCTACAGCCTCAGAAACCCTGTACAGGGTCACTAGGAGTCAGAACCGACTCCACGGCACATGACCACCCACCACCCCCAATGTGGCTCACAGCCCACAAGAAGAACACTTTCCAGCATGCTTTCCTTGTCCCTCCTCTCACTCCTTCCTTTGAAAACTGCTGTTGTTAAGTGCCACTGAGTCTGCTCCAGCTTACAGCAACCCTGTATAGGGCTTCGAAGGAGCAGCTGGTGGGTTTGAACCGCCAAACTGGCAGTTAGCAGTCCAGTGCGTAGCCTACGGTGCCAACACAGGAACACAGAGCATTGTTAAGAAAGCTAAAACCAGTGAGTCACTGTCCTGTAACACTTCTTTATTCACCTCGAAAAGATGGGCTTGGTCAACTGTGACCACAAGGCTGCACTATTCTGTTCTTCAAGTTAATATGTAAGTTGAAGCCCCTTTTGTAGCACTGCTATTAAAAAATAAAGAATGCCTGTCTCTGAAGTCTCCAAGTCACGAACCAGAGTTATAATTAGATGTCGGCCCAGTCAGTTATTTGGGTTTACAAACTCTTGAAAGCAGTGACCAAGGAATGCCCATAAAATATCTCCACGGGTGAATGTCTTTTTAAACTTAAGGGTGTTTGAATTCTTATGTTGGCAAGAGAGAAACCCTTATTAACAGAGGACAAAAAAGAATTAAGCACAACTATATTTAATATAATTATGAATAATGCCTTATGAAGAAAATGAAAGAGAGGTTACTGAAACAAAACTTGTATTCTTGGGGTTCTGAATCTTTTATTCACAGTATCGTAAAAAGAACCAAATTAATTAACTGAGGTCTTGGGAAGAAGAGAGTGTCCCTTCTTCGGTGAATTAATTTCCTTGAAGAAGAGGTTGTTATAAAAATGCAGAAGAAATCAGAATACCTAGAAATTGGACCACTGAGAGATATATTTATTTTCAAATGTACAAGCAATACATAACTCTACTTATTTAATCTAAACATGATTTTATGAGAATCCAAAAGGGATGAGATCATAATTACCTTTCCAATTTGTCTTTAGAATTCTCAGGTCACTTTCATACTTGTTACCTAATTTAATGCCACCAACAATCTTATTGTATTGGCATTTAACCTGTTCCCTTTAAATCTGTAATGAGATCAAGGTAGAAGAAAGGATAATAAAATTATCCTCAAACAATTCCCATCTCCCTGGCTGGCTACAGATCTGCTCCACATCTGCCTCCCTTACAATTTTCATACCCGTCTCTGGCTGGTGGGACTGAATTTTCCTATTTCCATTTTAACATCCTTCCTACATTTCACCACCAGATTAACTTGCAGCAAAGATCTCACACAGTGATGTTCTCCATTTCGAAAGCCTTCAATGGCTTTCTCTTCCATTGCACAAATCTATAAAAGTCTCTTTTCTGGGTTGCACAGCCTGCCCATGATCCTGCTCCGTTATTTCCAACATCTCTGCAGGATGCTTGTTTGCTCAGATTTCACGAGGATCCCAAATTCTCCCTGCCCTATAGCTGTCATTCATCCAGAAAACATTCCACATCAGTGAAGTCGCCGAGCACCCACAACTACCTGAAATCAATGATACGAGAGCTGAGAAAGAAAAGGCAAAGAACCCAACTCCTCAATGAGAGCATGTCCCAGGGCCAGTAGAAGTGGGAGATGAGTCTGGGTCTTTCTGTCTGACTCAGTGCCTGGCTGCCTTTCATGACATCAGCATCTTGTCACTGTGAGAGTGACTGTCATTCAATACTTCAAACTATGTGATGTTTAGCCCACCGGACTGAACATGACTATACGCGAGGAGCGCATCTCTAATTCTGGAAATAGTTTTCATGGATAATCACAGTAATGCCTGATTTCACCTTTAGGCACAGGAGTAAAAGACCCTAAGCACCCATGTAAGACTCTAATGCTACAACAGAACCTATCTAAAGTCTACGTGTCTCAAATGCTTAAGGATCAATGGGGGCGCTGTAGGATAAACACAGGACTGCTAACCTCAAGGTCGGCAGTTTAAACCCATCAACTGCTCCGCGGAAGAAACATGAGGCTGTCTATTCAAGTAAAGATTTACTGCCTCGGGAATTCCACATAGGGTCCCCATGAGTCGGAATCAACGTGATGTCAGTAGGTTTTCAAAAGCTCAGCTTCAGGCCTCTTGTTTCTCGTCTCCATTAACCTCTCCTCTTAAGCTTTCATAGTCTAAGGAACACAAGGTTGGGTTCCTATCTCATACTTTACTACACTCTGTCACTTCTCTGAAATTATTTCTCCCCAACTACACTTTCATTGCCTTCTATTTTATTTGTCTCCGTATTTCTTTGATTCCGATCCCAGTGTATGGGTAATAATTATGAACTCAAGGGTATAATCTATTCTCGAACACTGGCCTGGGCTAGAATCTCAGTTCTCTCAGACACTTAACTATGGGACCTCCACAGCCCTCAGGTTCTAATCCACAAACTAGAAAAACACTACTTTCCTTGGAGGGTTGTTGTAACTCACCTAATGTATTTAAGTGCAATGCCTGAAATACTGTAGCCCTCACATACATGGTAGGTAATAATTCCAAGAATTTATTTGCTCGTGTATTTATAACTACACCAACTAAATAAATCACAGGATATTTTCATCATAAACTTTATGTCTCTTTGAGCAGGAATTCCCTCGAAACTTTTAGTGATTCTTCTCTACAAAACTGTAGCACTCTAGAAATGCCATCAAGAACGACATCAATGTTTCACCCTGGGCCTCTGCCAGCATGGATCCCTCTCTGCTTGGGCTGCTTGGCTGCCAGACACTTCTCACAGCTCACTCTGTGATGTTCGTAAGATGGTCAAGGATGAGCTGCAGCTATAACAGTGCCTCATGACTCTTTGGAGTCCTGGTTTGGCACTGTGGGATAAACACTACACTGCAAGGCCAGTTGAGCCACAAGGTCGGAGGTTCCAACTAACCAGTTGCTCCTCGGAAACCCTACACAGGGTCACTATGAGTTGGAACCGACTTGACGGCACTTCACAACAACAACAACAACAATCACTCTCCGGCACTTTTCCTTGCTCTGTTTTATCACCAACTGATACTGTACAGATGTACTGGCTTATGTGTTTGTCTCTCATCTACCTAACTAGCACGCAAGTACCAAGTGGACTAGCTGTAGACCTAGAAAAGTGTTCACCACATGGCACGTACTCAACAGATATTGCTGAATAAATGAAAACCTGCTGGATTCCTGTTCGGTTCTCTCTAGAGACACCAAGGACTAGACACTCCAGGAGTTATAACAAGTAGGGTCATGGTTGGCCGAACTAATCTGTGAACACACGGAAGAAGTGTCAGACCCATTCTCCGTTAGTCGAGAAGAACTGAGTTCCTGAGTCTAGTTCTGGGTTCCACACTCACACGTCTGCTTAGCCCACCTGAAGTGTCCCCAGATCTGCGCGGGCATTGGACAGTAAACTTGGAACCTCAGAAAAACAAGTGCTGTTTAACATCGCTCCAGCCCTTCTCACTGTCCTTCACTATCTCGTCAGGACTCCTATTTGGTGATGAGACCTGTAAAGTAAGGATAGGGCACAAGTCTGATGACATGACTTGGGCAGAATAACTTGCTTTTTTTTTTTTTAATTATCACCAGTAGCACATTCTTGCATGTTCAAATCCTGCAGTTCTCAATCTGGCCCCCTTTAAAAAGTGGCATATGTTCACAATAAATCTTTAAAATGGCTCTATTAATAGAGTGGCTGTGCTGACAGTTTTACAAATGGGCTCCATCTTTATGCAAACTGTGTTTTATTAGATTGCATTATAATGATTTGCAATAAGAACACAGAGAGATGAATTCTGAGAGAAGGAACTCCAAACATTGCTAAGCTGGTTAGGGCTTTCGGAGCCCGTGAATTTAGGGTGGCAGACTGCATCCCGGGAACAACAGACAGACCAGATCAGTTTTGCTACAGTCGTATGCTTCTCCGCCTGCTGTCCTCAATCAGAGAATAACAGTCTAATAACTGGCTTTGTGTCGATCAATCCAATTACTTCCTATTTGGGATGTGCTGACACGCCACTAAATCGGCAGACAGATGGCAGGGTCTTTCATTACCCTCCGACTGAATAATTAGCTTCCCAGGCACAGAACTGGGGAAAGAGCCCATCTAAGAAGTCGAGCATCCTCCAAAGAAAACCAAAGGCAGAGATGGCTAAAAATAATCCTGCTAACCCAATGCTGTATCAGTGCCGTGCCTTCTGTCAACAGGCGACCTTCTCTGGGCAGCCTTGGGCAAGAGGGGTGGCCACCTGGCCATATTTCCACTAGAGTCCTTTTCCTCATGTGTCTGGTTGCTGTCCATCCCAGGAAAAGTACAGCATGAGTCTGGGATCCAAATGATGCCACCTTGGCAACGTGAAACTGACCGGGTCTCATGTTCTTTGGTGTGGGTCGGGAGACGTTGACCTGATTCGACCTTCTCCTCCCAGCTAATAATAATTCCCTCAGGGCCCTAACAGAGATCTGGAACATCACTGCCACATCCTTATGAATATTCATTCTCAGAGGCTACAAACACCAACAAACACCCAACTGCCGGAACAGAGAGGGTCCACATACTGGACCAGCACTGAAAGCAAGGGGATACTGGAGTGCTGGGCCGCTACAGCAGACACCTATATGGCCCTAGAATGAGAAGTACACTTCCGCGGTTGTGGTTAGAGGGAAAAGCAGACCCATTAGCCATTGCTGTCTCTTTTCTAAGTGCCTTCATTCCTTATTTATTGAGGACAAGATTCTATCCAACAATAATTGCAGTATGAACTTTTCTGCAGTACATGATTTTTTTAAAAAAAGACGGTATTTCAATACAGTGTCTCTTTAATTTAACAGTTAAGAACTTGCTCACAGTGAATAGTTGATTTGAGAAACAGAATCACTGGACAGGGAGCTGGGGCCAAAGGAGAAGAGAAGAAAATGACCGGTAGCAGCAGGACGTGACACCTTCAGACATTGTCAGATGCCTGGACAGCTTCCGAGGAAGTACAGTCAAGCTGGGAGAACTGGATCCTAAAGGAGTTGAACTGAAAGTAGGCCTTCTCAGATGCTAAGAAAAAGGACAGGAGAGCCAAGTAATTACAGTTAAAAATCAGGATGAAGATTTCCTTTAGAGATTTTACAAACACTGCAAATGAAGACTTCCAGAGCAGAAGAAGTAGGCTCAACATCTGGCCCCAAAAGTAGGCCACGTCGCTGCAATGTCACCAGGAGAGGTGGCAAAGGGCTGGGCTGCTGGCGGCTTTCTCAAGTAACTTCTGGTTCGATACCAGGCTCTGCTCTCCAGTCCTAACAGAAATGATGCTTCACTGA